TCTGGACCGCGTTATGTACAGATTGTAAGTTCTAATCCTATTAAATATATGTGATACATCTATCACCCTTAGCATGGTTACACCATTCAATAATATCATAGAATAAGTTTGACATCACCAACCCTTCTTGAGCGAGCGTGGTGATTAATGCTCAAACCTTCTCCATGTGAGAAGAGGCTCAGCAGTGGGCTCTGATAGGCTGATGATGATGAAACATCTCATATAATCTCCTATATTATGAATATGCATTGAATATATTCATATAATTATGATTTCCCAGGTCGGTGGAAGACACCAAAGCGAGGTTGGCGGAGATGGAGCGAGCTCCGAACAGCACCGAGCTGGGTTCAGACTTGAGATCCTGCAAGAGATTGCTGCTACTTCACCAGGTGGTTACATCACATACTAGCTGTTTACTGCGACTTCATGCGTGTATTAGGTATTACTCAGATGGTGATTAATGTGTATCTAATATAATGGATGTCATAGTGAGGTCTAAATTGCTTTATAGAAGAGTTTTATCAAAATCAGTTAGGATAATTTACTTGTAAGACCAACATATATCCATACATACCTACTAGATACACTATATACATATATATATAGTATATAATATATAATATATAGTATTGCTTTTCAAATTATTATCTGTCGTTGTTATGCCAGCTATCTGATATAATTTGAGGTAACTGTCAGTGTGAGAGTGATGATATGGTTTTAAAGATTTCTTTTTTTGCTGAGATTATTTTTATAAAATCAAAGTGTAAAGAGCTCATTGCTGGTGCTTTAATAACTAGATTTAAACTAAGGGCTCCTCAGGCGAGAAAACAATTTGTTTTAAAGTAAAACAAGTAGAATTGTATTGTTTAGGAATGTGTATTGATAAAAACAATTATTGTTTACAGAAAAATGCGACTTCGTCCTTGTTGTATTTACTAGAACATAATATATCTATATTTATATAATATTCAATAGTAACATAAATGTCTACAGGCTCTGGAACAAGAGTTGAGTCAATGCGAACAACGAGCGGAGTCCCTTGCAGCCCAGGGCTCCGACCTGGTCTCCAGTGGTCACTTCGACGGCGCGGCCATCGAGAGAGACTCCGCTGCGCTGCTGCAGGCCACCCGGGCGCTCCGCCCTTGAGCGGCCGAGAGTAGACAGGCGCTGGAAACTAGACTACAGTCAGTATACGATATAAATAAAACAAAATATGATTCAATACAACATTATATAAGAAATGATTAAGGGTTGACGGAACAATATATATGTATGTAATACATATATATAATTGAGCCGGGACGGGTATAAAGATTAAAATATTTACTATAAAGGGCCATAGATCTATTTTAAATCAAAAATGTATTTAAGTTATTTAACTGGATAAGGATTCTCCACTTATTTATGGATATCATTATACATACAAACCTTCCTCTTCAAACAATCTATCTTTCCAAAAAAACTGCACCAAAATTCACTGGACGTCAGCTTCCTGTACATAAAATTTTATCAAAATCGGTTCAGCCATTTGAGCGTGAAGAAGTAACAAACCTACATTTTCCTATTTATTCATTAGTCTTAAATTGTACCTAAATAATGTAGCACCTGACAAAAATATTGTTTTTGTTATGATTATGCCGTGACACATACTTAGGCTGTAATAATTTTAGACTGTAACTTATATGTAATCCGGATTATATTCTGTTTGTGTGCCTAAATAAATAAATAAATACATACACACTCACAAACTTTCGCAATTATAATATTAGTAGGATAGTAATAGTACGTCATAATCAATTTGAGGACTAATTTTATTCATCCAAATCCTCCACAGACTACACAAGTTTGCTGCCGAGGTTTCAGGAGAGCTAGCTTGGGTGTCGGAGCGCCAGGCCGCCGCTTCATCTGCCAGAAGCAGAAGAAACACGCCAAGCTGGGGGCGGAGCTGGAGGGGCGGAGGCCTGTCGTGGAGAGGGTGCTCCAACGGGGCAAGGAGCGGGACACGCATCCACAGGCTGGGAAGGTGGACTATATATATATAACTCACATTCTCATGTATTACATAGTAATGTTATATAGTTATATGTCTCATTGTATTTGTAGTGATTATATGTAGGTATTTATTTCTAAGAGAGAAACACGCGTCCGTTCGATAGTGCAGAACTGACGCATAGTAAAAAATGACCATCCTACCAACGTCATAGTATTACACTTAAATTCATTCTGGATCTCCACACCATACCTTGATTCATCTGAAATGTTATATACAGCATGCATAATTAAATTATTCTTGGACAAAGTTCGGCTAATAATTGATTTTTTTTAAATATTTTATGAGTGAATTCTTGAAGTGAAACTTCTTATGCTACTACCAACAAGGTTGCTTTAAACGTTCAACGTAGCGAAAGAAAGATACACAAATGTAGAAAGTAGGAGAGAGATTGAGAGTAGATTCCAAGCACATGTGCATAGTACTGTTGCTTACAGCGAAGTAAACAGTGTGAACGCGACATTAACTGAAACACCAATTTGTATTATATTAATTTATGTATATACATATAATTTATTTCCTCAGTCAGTTGTGGCCTTGTGGCTAAAAGTCCCGCCTCTCATGCATGAGGGCGCGGGTTCGGTCCTGTCAAGTACCAATGTGATTTTTCCGAGTCATATGTACTTTATAACAGTATTTAGACATCACTGATTAATGCATTCCAAAAGAGGTTTGATGTCAGGCAGGCGTCCGGTCGTAAAAACAATTAGGCAAAGCTATTCACACATCTTAGGCAGACCCTGGCTAAAAGCTGGGAAATAGCCAGGAAGAAGAAGATTAGTTTATGCATATACATATAATTTATTTCCCTACTCCACCCACTAAACTATAACGATCACATTCCAGAATAAGCAGCTGTGCCAGGAGCTTGAAGAGGCGTACTCCTCTGTGTCATCAGCGGCGGAGGAGCGCGCGGCCCGGCTGGAGGCGGCGCTCAAGGCCCAGCAGTTCCTGCATGATGCAGCGGAAGTCGACTCCTGGCTGGCTGACAAGGCCGCCGCACTGGCTTCCGGTGACGTCGGCACTGATAGGCATAGAGCGACGAAACTACTCACACGGCATAAGGTAATATACATATATATACATAACTAAGAATTAGATTTTCGTCATATGACACAATTTTTGAGTTACAAGAAATGTATGATAAATCACTATATACTTATATGTACGAGGGCGGTCCGATAAGTACTTAGCCTCACCGCCCGAAGGTGCCATTATCGCAATTGAAATTTACATTCTCCTAGACAGCTACTGTCCAAATTTCAGCCGTATCAAACTCTTAGCTGTCTTTTGACCGCGTGTGGAAGCAAACGTGACCGCAGATTTTAGAACAATGGAAAAAGAGCAATATCGGTCGGTGATCGATTCTTGTTTTTGGAAGGGAAATCGCGCAAGCAAATCAAAGAGCGCTTGGATGCTGTGTACGGTGACTCTTCTCCTTCGATAGCAACCGTCAAAAATTGGTTTAACGAGTTTCAACGCGGTCGTACGTCAGTTTTTGATGAGCCTCGCCCAGGTGCCCCGAAAACTGCTACTACGGAGGATAACATAACAAAAATCCACGATCTCGTATAGGCAGACCGCCGATTGAAGGTGCGCGAGATAGCTGAGACAGTAGGCATCTCAAAAGACCGCGTGGGTCATATCCTGCATGAAATTTTGGGCATGAGAAAGCTTTCGGCGCGATGGGTGCCGCGTTTGCTCACTCCGGACAACAAACGCAACCGTGAGACCACTTCAAAGCAATGTTTGAAAGAAAGAAAGAAGAAAGAAAGAAAGAAAGTTTTTATTTGAGACACATATAAAACTTATGACTAATTACTATAAAACTTATGACTAATTTACACCAAAACATGAGAAAAAATATAAAAGTAGGATATAAAAAAAATCAAAACAAAAAAAAAATAAATAATAATAATAAACATTAAAATATATAACGCGTGTCCCAAAAAGGTATACCATTCAGCTTATGCTGGTTTTCAATGGTACCCTTTGAACCTGACTGAACAAGTTTATAAATAAGTGTTGTTGAAGTTGAAGTGAACAAGTTTATAAATAAGTGTTGTTGTGACAGTTAGATTATATATTAAATAAATAAATAAAAATATAAAAACAGTTAAAAAAAAAAAAATAAAATAAAATTAAAAGAAAAAAAGTTTCATTATCCAACAAACGAACCAACAAACGAAATGTTGATGGAACAAGGTACGCAACGGAGCCACAGCAGTAAAGATAAGTTATACATATAATATAATACACACATAATGTTCTTAAAACTCGAAGATACAATATAATAATTATATTATGAATTAATACAATTCTAATTGTAAATTAAATAAATATAATTTATATTTGATATTAAATGATTTTAAGGATTTCAGGATCCGAAGCGGAGGGGGAATATTGTTCCAACACTTCGTTGCTGCGTAACGAAAACTGCCGCGGAATGCTGCTGTGCGGTGAGCCGGCACGTTCAGCATATAAGAAGAGGCTCTCGTTTGGTAACTTTTGTTACATTCGTTGGCCCAACTTAGCTTGCTGTACAAATATATAGGCGTCTTATTTTTAATAATACCAAATAACAAGGTATCAAAGTGTAATTGTCTGCGGTATTCCATCTTTGCCATTCGAGCCCTATTAATATAAGGGGTAACATGTGCGCGAGGCGGTATTTTATAGCAGTACCTAATACATGCATTCTGTACCCGCTGTATAAGATTCTTAGAGCGAGTGAGTAGTCTGGGCCCGATGACCGCATCAGCATAATTAAACTTTGAAAGGACTAGAGTGTCGCATAACTTTATCCGCATATCCTTACTTAGTACATCTCGGATCTGGTACAGAACTTTTAATCTATAGAAGCAATTGCGAGCTGTATTTATAGTATGTTTTTCAAAGGTCAATCGCTCGTCGATCAACAAGCCCAAACTTCGCGCTTCTGTGACTCGTTCTATTCTCTCGCCTTTAATATGCACAAATGGGTTAAGGTCATTTATTAAATTCACCTGGTTTCTTGTTCCTAATAATATATATTTAGTCTTGCTTGGATTTAAAATAAGACTATGAGAATCTGACCATTCTGATATGCGCTGAAGATCGTCATTTAAATTTTGTATAGCTAAATTTACTTCTGAGTTTTTAAATGATATGTAAATTTGTATATCGTCAGCATATATGTGATATTTACAATGTTTTATACTTTTTACTATATCGGCGCAGTATAACGCAAAAATTACAGGCCCTAATATTGATCCTTGAGGAATACCTCTGTTAACGGAGCAACAGTCAGAGAGAGCTCTAGACCCGTCCTCGTTTATTACTTCTACAATTTGCTTACGATTTCCTAAATAACTCGCAAACCACTTAATTGTGTCAAGACTGAACCCGTAATATTTTAATTTAGATAGTAATAATGACCTATTGATTGTATCAAAGGCACGCGAGAAATCCAACAAAACAAGGATTGTACCCTCACCAACGTCCTGAGCACACAAAACGTTGTCAATTACATCTAACAACGCGGTAGTCGTGCTGTGATGTTTGCGAAACCCCGACTGCCTATCAGGTAAAATATTTTGAGACTCTAAGTATGCAGTTAATTGGTTACACACTATTCTCTCCAGTATCTTCGAAATGCATGGTAATATGCTTATTGGACGAAGATCTTTAACTTCAGTAATATTATCTTTCTTGGGTATAGGTCTTACCAAAGCTGTCTGCCATAGGGTCGGAAACGTATTACTTGAAATAGATTTGTTAACAATAGTGGTAATATTTGACAATGTGATCGGTAATGTTAGTAGCAACATATCCAATGAAATACCATCAATACCTATAGCATTCGACTTCAAGGAGCGTACAATTTTTAAAACTTCCATTTCATTGCTAGTAGACAATGTAAAAATATCTGTACCGTATTTATGTAACTCGTAATAATAAATTGTGGAAAGAGAAACGTAATTGCTACCCGGGATGTTTAGAAAATAATTATTTATAGTAGTTGGATTATTGATTTCTTCTGGTATTATATGATTACACTTTTGTTTTATATTAATATATTTTTTCAAGTGATTCCAAAGCACAATTGAATTCTTTATATTCGAGTTTATATGGTAATTAAAGTAAGCAAACTTCTCTCTATGAATTGCTTGAGTAACCTGCAATTTCAAATCTTTATAATAACTTATACTTGTTTCTGACGTACTCCCTTTTGCTCTTACGTGAGCCGCATCGCGACGACTCATCAACAACTTTATATTGTATGTTATCCAGGGTCGCTGGTTTTCCCTGGAGCAGATTAATTTACTGGGTGCCAGTAAGTCAAAGACCCACAACAAGTTACTATTGAATACAGCCACCATGTCATTTATTTCCTCGATATCAGTGACACTTTCCCAATTCATTAAATTAAGCGTCTCATTGAGATGCTCTGGATTGATGTCCTTTAATGGTCTATTCAGAATAGTCTTCGGTGAAATTTTGTATCTTTTTATATTTACTTCGCAGGATATAAACGCGTGGCCTCCGAACTCAGCGACATGATCTATTCTAATCTGATTAACTAAAGTATTCGAGCAAATAAGATCAATTAAACTTTCACTATTAGCAGTGAAATGGGTGGGTTCAGTGACATATTGCCTTAAGTCATGAGTCGATAGGAACTGGTCCAATACCTGTCTATGAATATCCCGCGTATCGATACAATTAATATTAAAATCTCCCAACACATACAGATGATCATGATAGGGTAAGCTACCTATTGTTTCGGTCAATGCGTCAAAAAAAGTTGTTACATTTCCCCAAGGGGGGCGGTAGGCTGTGCCAATAATTATGGTTTTGCCATTTATTTTGGTAGCTATCCACATTTGCTCCACAGGAGGCGATATCGGGTGCATCAGTGTACGCACAGAAATACCGCGTTTGATATAGAAACCGACACCGCCACCACGTGATCGAATCTCTACCGGTCTAGGTATGTGACGCAATCGGTATCCAGCCACAACTGGAGCTCTGCCATCCTCCCCTGAGCGCAACCACGTCTCATTGATGGCTACGACATCTGCGTCATGACGCTCCATAAGAACTATGAACTCATCGTGATGTGAACCAAGCGAACCCGGGTTGAATAAGCCTAATTTAAGATTTTTAATACTTATCATTTTTATCCTTAATGAAACGCAAATAATAATAACAATAAATTAATAAATTAATAATTAAATGAAATGTGTATAATACCGGTACTATAAAATAATCATAAGAATGATGAAGACAAATATAGTTTTGCAAATACACATATATGTGAGATGTATACAAATATATTGGTTGTATATTATGTTCACCTATTAATGAAAAATTAGTTTTGAAGACCGGGGACACGTCATTACTTATAAAATAAATTATTGAGTGGTTATAATTTTTACTATTATATGGACCTAACGTAAATACATAATTAGAGATATTACAAGATGTACAGAGAATTATAACAAAGGTCTGTAATTTAATTTTACATAGATTATATGCCATTTTCAGCAAGATTCGAAATTTTACAACACAAGAAATATAACAGAAATTCACAAATCTTTTACTACTATTGAAATACAAAATTATTTTGAACCAAAAATTTTAATTAAATCGTTTTCAGAACGAATACGCTGCACTGCCGTATCCGTCTCGCGTCGCATGTGGACCCTCCCCTCCCGCGTCCATACAAAGCGCCAGCCGTGACGTTTTCCCTCCTCCCTAGCCTTATAGAACAATAGGCGATTAGCACGAGTCAGATGTTCATTAATGTAGACTCGCGTGGGATTGCCGTCAGTGACACCTGTAGTATCGGTCCCGCGTCGCACGCGCGCCGCCTTTATGATGTCGTCTCGAAGAGACCGCCGCGCTAATCGCACGATCACCGGCCGCGGGCGACTACGCTCTTCACTCGATGTCGACAGGCGATGCGGGCCGACTCGCCCGGCGCTCACTATATCGCGAGAGTCGAGGGCCATACCCAACTTATTAGCGATCGCTTGTGTCAGATGCATAACATTCTCTCCACTCCGCTCTGGCACTCCCGTTATTTGAACATCATTCAATAATGAATTTTGTTCTCTGTCATTGATGTCTGCTTTTAACTGTATGATGATATCATGTAAATTTTCATCTTTGCTGACACCAGAACTGGAAAATTTTTCTTCCAAAGAGGTCATGCGCTCTTCCACATTATCAACCCTTTTATTGAATTCAACTATATTTTCGTTCATTCTTGCTAATTCTAACCTGAATGAAGTCATCTCCCGTGTGACAGATATGAGCTCCATCCTGAGAAGCTTCATCTCCTTAGCTAAGGATAACTCCGATGTCTTCTCATTTTCCGTAGAGTTAGCGTCTATAAAAATATCCACAGAGGGTGATTCAGTATTTACCGGAGACTTATTCTTATGTTCCTGTCCGCGGCAACCTCGGCATGTCCAGCGCGCGGGGAGGCGGGAGTCAGGGCTGATGTTGACGCACGACCGATGGAACACTGCATTGCACTTATTGCATTTTGCGCCCTCTGTAGGCGATAGGAACTTGCCGCATTGATTGCACTTGTTGGCCATTATGCATATAACGTATGTAATAAGAACGTCTCCGATAGATGTCACCAAACAAATATTTTTGTGTAATATTTATTAACGAAATTAAATATTTTTATAATAATGTTTAATTAATAGTCACTAATAACGTTTATGTATTTCAACAAAGGAGACAATCGTAATGTAAGCTGAATAAAAACTAAAATAAATATTTGTTGTTTTTATTAGTTTGTGGGTACATACGCGTCAGCTGATCCGATCCGCTGATTAACGAAGCACAAAAATCACTATAATTAAAACTTTTATTCGTGTACGTTTATTCTCACTCACAAACTGTTTTCACACTTAAAGTTTTTTAGAACTTTTTATTGATTTCGGCTAGTTTTACTATTTTTAACTTAGTAAATTATTCAGACACACACATCTCGTCTGCCCGTCAAGTCAGTCAGTCCAGTTTGACGCTGTTTAAGCGCAATCCAAAGGAGTTTTTACGTCGTTTCGTGACCGTCGACGAAACATGGATCCACTGGTACACACCAGAGACCAAGGAACAGTCGAAACAGTGGACTTCACCCGGCGAACGTGCTCCGAAGAAGGCGAAGACTGTCTTATCGGCCGGAAAGGTGATGGGCACCATTTTCTGGGATTCACAAGGTGTGATCTACATTGACTACCTGGAGAAGGGCAAAACGATCACAGGGCTGTACTATGCCGAATTATTGGGCCGATTTGACGCCATATTGCAAAAAAAACGGCCCCATTTGGCGAAGAAAAAAGTGCTCTTTCATCATGACAACGCACCGGCTCACACCTCCGCCGTCGCCACAGCCAAATTGGTCGAATAAGGCTACGAAATGCTGCCCCATCCACCGTATTCTCCAGATTTGGCCCCGTGCGACTTCTTTTTGTTTCCAAACTTGAAAAAGGCACTCGCCGGGAAAAAATTTGAGTCAAATGAGGAGGTCATCGCCGCCACGGAGGCCTACTTTGCAGACCTCGAGAAAACGTATTTTTCAGACGGGTTAAAAAAGTTGGAGCATCGCTGGGTCAAGTGTATTGAGCTAAAAGGAGATTATGTTGAAAAATAAATCACCACATTTCCAAAATTTTCGTTTTTCTTTTGTAGGCTAAGTACTTATCGGACCGCCCTCGTAAGTCATCAAGTGACTTATGAAGTGAAAATTTATCAGTTATTGAGTAGGATCAAATATTTATAAAACATGTATTAAAAATAGGGGTTGGTGATAGAAGAGTGATAATTTAGGGTTGTATGTATTTTATAATGCCACATTATGAAAAGGTTGTCCAAAAAAATTAAATAAGGTGTTAAAAGTGGGCCGCTCTTATACTTAGGGGTATGAAATATAGATTGAATATGAAATTAAAATTATTGAATATGAATATAAAGTTTCATAAAAATCGGTTAAGCCGTTTGGCAGGAGTATGATATCTAACATATACATATACAGGGTGACTGGTGAATTACTATCGATATTTGAGGACGTGATATTTGACGATCATATATGACAAAATAAAAATTAATATAACATAAATATTAATAAACTTCTAAGTAAAGTTAACCAAAAGTTATGTAATTAATTACGCATCGTATGAACACCCTACAGATTAGGTATACACACACACACACACACATACGCGCGCGGCGGCGTTGTGTTGTATCAGCACGCCGCCGCACGCGTTCACACTTGGAACACTTGGAACGTGTACACACTTTATTTATTTATACGGAAATTTGGTCAAAAATTAAGTACCTATTTTTTTTACATAATTCGAATGAGAATCGTGTACCGAGTATGCTCCTTAAATATTGATAGTAATTCACCAGTCACCCTGTATATATATATATATATATATATATATATATATATATATATATATATATATATATGGACTTAAATCAGAAGAAGTTGTCATTATTGAAATTTCTAACACTTTCAATTAACAGAAATATAATAATACAGAGTATATTCAGCATTATCTTACAATTCCTCTTTAACCAACCAACAGGCCGTAGAACTCGAGTTGGACACATACGCGGCGATCATAGCGGAAATGGGTCACGTGGCGCAATCCATGGCTTCCGGTGGTCATCCTGAGGGAGCGGCGCCGGTAGCCAGACATGACCAGCTGGCTGGCAGTCTGGCTAGGCTGCAGAGAAAGCGAGCAGGCAGGCCGCGCTAATGGAGAGTGTGTGCAGGTGAGAGATACTATAAATATATACATATCATATTCGTCGCACTACTTATAATCAAGGAGGGCTATAAGAATGTGTAAATTTGTTTCGAGGTAGTTTAGAAACAGGAGACTGACGTAGCATACTTTTCATCAAGCGAGGTCAAAATTTAAATAAATAACTACTTAACAAAGACTTGTTATTTACTGCTTCTTAAGCGTTACACAGTAACGCCTTTCTATTACTGAAGTTGGTTATGAAGAAGTTGCTGACAAAGACTAGTATATGTGTGTTATAGGAATATATAAATAGGATATCCTCTAAAAATATGTGTGTCTATCCTTAGACATGAATATCTGGCTGAGAGCGCTGAGTTGGAGGAATGGGTTGCGGAGCAGCAAGCAGCCGCCTCCAGTGAAGACTACAGGACTATGAACACTTACTGGTGAGTAACGATATGTAGATTATGATGATGATGATGATGAGAGGGTGCTCCAGCCATCACACTTGGTGATGGAGACATTATTCAGTTATATCTTCAAATACTACGCTTTAAAACTTCACAGAAATCCGTTTAGCAATACTATTTTTAGAAACTAACGAATGAATGCTAAATTTCGTTGAAATTTAGCATTCATTCGTTAGTTTCCGAAATTAGGTAGTCCGAAAAACACTTTGCAGGGCAGTGTCGAACTATCGAATTCGTCGGATTATAGATTACTGCATAAGACCCCCTATAGTCCGGATTTTTTTACAAAAGAGTACCTTGTAATCCGACAAATTACAGATTCAATGATAAGATTATTGACACATTATATATACTCGTACATATGTACTCTGAAGTACAAATCATACTTCATTATGTATGTCAAGTTTAGTAAATTAAACAACAGTAGAGAGCTTACGTCTTATTATATAATTAACGTCATTACTGCTATAGAACTTAAAAAAAACAAATAATAGATCATGTCGGATTACAGGGGGTGCCGGATTAGCCAGGGGCCGGACTGCCGGGGGTCCACTGTATGTCCACATAAACTTATACCAAACAAAATTAGCTTTAACCATACATACAGATAAATAAGACATTCCACAAATGCAAATGAATTTGTACAAGTTAAAATGAGACTTAATGACTAGATATAGAATTTAATTTAGACAAAGAAAAATGAGACTTAATTACATACACATAGAATCTAATTTAAAAAATCCACATGTCATTTAAAACAAGGCAAAATTAATTTTAATTACATAGTTATAAGATCTAATTTACATAATCCACAACTCAAATACAATTCATACATTCCAGCGAGTCCTGGCAGCGTCTGGTCAGCGTAGAACAGATCCAGTCCTGCAGCCAGCGCCTGGTTGCTGCTGGCGAGATACACCGTTTCTACCGCGACGCCGGGGACCTGCTGGCGCGGGCCGGGGAGCGCCGGGCACGCCCTCTTGCGGGACCACGACGCAGCCGAGAACGATATGGTATATAGACGCGCAGATGCAGGTGCTACAAAACAATTATTATAGTTAAAGATACTTTATTTTTCTCAAAAAGAAATTACATTTCACTTACTTGAGAAAATTATGACGATAAACATATTATGTATTTTAAATTAAAACTTCGACAATCATAATAAATGTATCACTAGCTAGTTTAACATATTCTTACAATAAATTTTGCTTTAAACATGAAATTTAAAATATACACCCTCAAAGCAACAATAATTGTGTACAAAACAGTGATGAGAAATGCAAACTCATAGACACAGAGTAACTATTAAGATTGACTTAAAATGAAATCTAAGATTTTCGCGAGTATTCATTTAAATTAAACTTATATTTATCATATCGTCTGCCCGTGATCATGATACTGTAAAGTAAGCGTTACAGTATCATGATCACGGGCAGACGATATGATAAATATTAGTTTCATTTAAATGAATACTTGTCAAAATCTATTTCATAATATCATAGCTCCTCATTTAATGTAGCCTAATTCTGCCTAAATAAGATTTTAACTGATTTTTGCAGTATTTTATACTTGTAGTAATATACTTCCTGGCCCGGGCAAGTACCAATATGATTTTTCCGAGTCATATGTACTATCTAAGAATATTTAGACATCACTGATTAATGCATTCCCAAAGAGGGTTCACAACATGTAAGGTAGACCCTGGCTAAAGCTGGGAAGTTGCCAGGTAGAAGAGATAGTTGTAGTGATATTAAATCTATTTCCAGGTGCTCCAGGAGGAAGGATTTCGCCTCCAGCGGTTATGCCCCGGCGGTAACTCCCAGCAGATAGCGCTGAGCTGCAGATCTTAGGAGGAAACTGCTGCACCAACACCTGGAATTACAGACCTTCCTATCCGAGGTATCACTATGGGATTTCACTATTATACAAAACCTTTATGATCTGATAGTGTTTTAATATATTGCTACATTTGATTAATCTATCTAATTTATATATTTTTTCTTTATATACTAATTAATTATTAACGATTTTACGCCTATAAATAATGTATCCTTTATTATATTTTATTTTCATTAAGACATTGTTATCACTTATATGAGAATTACACTTATAACAAAAACATTTATGAATATACAGTTAGACATCGCACTTATAACAAAAATTAAATGAAATAACGTTTACATAAGAGATATTTTTCTATATTAAGCACTAATTTAATGGTTGTCTTAGTTTTGATTATTTATTATTTAATATATACTATCTGCCCCGCAAACGTTGTTTTGTCATATCAAAAGTAGGGGTTGGTGATAAAAAAATTAATATTTAGGATTTTATGTATTTTCTTATGGCACTTGAAAA